GGCATTTACTAGGAGCATAAGAACAGCCTGAACTTAAGTAGCATAGCTTCTGAAAAAGAAGAAATTTTGGAAGCAATGTACTTTCATGTTTAGTTACCCATATCTAATGGACAGGATATGGAAGAAAGTTCCTGCTTTCCAAATACTATAGAAACAGCTTTCTAAGATCTTCCTCTGAAGCTGCCTGAGGCCTGTCCTGTGCTAGACAGGCCATTTGTTTAATATGGCAATGTTATATATATCATATAGCTAAATGTGCTTTGATGGGAGAGAGTGAGCAAAGGAAGGCTGGCAAGAGAAAGAGAAGAAATGTAAACTTCTTTTGAGCAGAATAATGTTGATTTTTGGACTAGTAATATTTCTTTCAATGCTTTCAATGTAATCAAGGCCTTGCAATCAGAATGTACGCAGCTTTGTACTGTTGGGAAGGACTTGGATAAGAGCCTGGCTGCTGTTGTGAAATGGAAGATACAAACTGTAGTCATCCTTCAGTGATCTGTAGACAGTTTACCTAAATTGTGGATTAACAAGATTGCAGATAATACAGTTGAAGGCAATGAAATGTTTGCCCATCTTGGCTTAGCCAAGCCTGACTGCATGGGGTCTGATGCAGGGTTATCAGCTTGGTCAAGAAGAGAGCAAAAATATGAAGCCAGCTGAGCTGTGCTTAAAAGCCATCTTGGATGTGGTAGCATGAGGCACAAATGGAACATGCTACAGGCATGATGCTGGAATGAATTCATCCATCATTATGTTTACCTCTGGCTATGGAATACCTTTGATCAACTGAGCTGGTGCATGGCTTGATCCTGTTGTTAGCAGGATTAGTGGCTGAAGGCCTTGGCTTCAGCTCCTTGTTCTGTTTCTGAGTTCTCATGTCATTTTGGAGAAGACACTTAATATCTCACTGTCTTATTGATGTGAAGGTATTCTTCTACCTCCTCTTGGTATTAACAGAGTAAACATATCTTGCATAGCAGAAGCACAAAAAGTAGGCACTTAGGCTAAGGGTAGGTTCTGCTTGCAGATGTTTTACATGTGTGCCTCTGGTAATGTCTCTGTCCTTGCCAGCAGAGATCAGAGCTAGATTTGCCATCCAACATCACAAGATGCCGTGATAAACGCCATGTATTTTTCAGTAGGTAGGATGTCAAGCAAACGCTTTTTGTTTCCTGTAGGACTGGTTGACATGTCAGAGAATTAGCTTCAATCCTGTGTGTGAATGCTGAGTTAAGTGCATGAAAGGGAGTGGAGCTGAGATTTCATGCTGTTGCTGGGAGCTCACTTTGTGCTGTCATCAGCAAACCAAGACTTTAAAGCGGTCAGATCCCCCAACACCACACTGATGGAACCCACATCTAAATATGGCACATCTGTCCAGACTTGCCCTGAGAAGCTGCCTTGAAGATTGCAAATCCTCTTGTCCAGAATAGACAGCGCAATCAAGGCAATGTGTTAAAGCTTCCCTTTGCAACCTGCACAATTACTGACCTATTCAGAGAAACCTTCCCCTTTAGCTTTTAGCTCTCCTAGGCAATTTATCCTGTCTCAGCTGTCTTGCTGCATTATGTCCTTCAAACCCCCTAGAATTAACGTTTGGAGCCAGCAAACACTGCTGGCTCCAAGAGAGAAGCCGAGAGCGGAAAGGTCAGGTCGATTAAAGCACTTGATCAGAATCTTTAACATAAAGACGTCACAGGCAAAACAGTAACGCTACTTCACGCTCAGCTAAGAGCAAATGATTCATCAGGCAAGGCTGCTTATTTTTGGAGGATGGCCACAAAAGAGGAGAGAACACGCTGGCTGTATCGATCATGGTTGTAACAGGGCACGGCAGAGCCCTCCTCCAGTTTTGATGGAAATTTAAAGTCGGAAATACATCATCCGATGTAAATATGTCAGGAAGTGTTTTACATCAGCCGGGTTTTACAAACTGAGCAGAATCATTTTGTCGCTGCACAAATCTCAGAGCAGCCATTTAGAGCAAAGGGCTATTTTGCAGTGCTCTCTGCAGCCTGGTGCTGCTGAAGATGCAACTGTTTTGTGAGGGCTTCTGTACAGGTGGCTGGAGAAGCGGTTGTGCTCTGAAATCTCTGGTGCTTCGTCCCAGAGGGAAGACCTTCACTGCGTGAAGATGGACCAGTGTTGAGCAGATGAGCCCTGAAGGACGCTTTTATCTGGCTTACACTGCTTCCTGTGTCCAGAAATGATTGGAAGCACTGTTCTAGCAAGAAGCACTGCCCAGGCAGCTTCATGTGCTGCCTCCATGCCTGCTCATACCTTAAACAGAGAGCTCCTGCCTGCTCCCTTACAGCATCGTAGTCTGTTTGCTCTTTGGTAAGAGCAGAGTGGGTCTCTGCAGTGGGAGAGGGAAGTGTTTGTATATGGGAGTGGGATGAGCTGCACTGGGAGCTGGCAGCCTGAGGAAGGGATCCAGAAATCTGCCTTCAAACCCTGAGGCTGTCAAAGAGGGATAATCCTGCTCTGACCAGGAGCCTGCCCAGCAGCTTCCTTCCCTCCTTGTCCTCTTCTTCCTTCCCATCCCTCTCCCAGTGCTAACAAATACATGCTTAATTCAGTTAATTCCCATGGCGGTTTGACATCAAGACATAGAACTCCTCAAAGTTTACAAGACAAATCAGTGTGAGGGAAAACATGAAGCAGTAGTTCAGGGAAGAAAATGCAGCCAAAGAGAATGACTGGCGAAGAGAGGAAGTGAGAATTCCAGGAGGAAGGATCATTCCCCAGAGGAGTTTGTGAAGGGAGGGTGCAGAGAAGTGTCGGTATGGTGTGATGAGGCATGAGGGCTGGAGCACAAAGGAAGGTGCCACTGGAAGGAGAAGAGAGGCAAGTGGAGGTGGCAGACAGGAGCAGTTGTGCAGGATTGATGGAGCACGCTTTCAGGGAGATGAAAGCCAATGAGGACCCTTTGGGTTGCTGAATCCTTTGGGAGTTGGTGAACAGATGAGCACAGTGCTCACCCAGCCCAGAAAATGCACCTTGTGGTATACCTAAGACCGTCAGCATGCAAGACTAGGCATCGTATGCTGGATGAGACCAAGATACAGGGGCTAGAGGGATGGGAGAGGAAATTACTTTAGCTGCAGTGGTTGGGATGCACTGAAGAGGGGAGATTGAAGCAGAATATCTATATATAGAGACCTAAAGGGTCCATCTGTGTTGCATGATACTGCCTAGTGTGGAGACAGTCACAGCTTCACATCTCTCCATGCTTTGCTGCAGACCAGTTCCAGGAAAGGGCAGTGTAACTGTGCACCTGGTAGTCTAAACAAGCTAGTTCCCTTATGGCTACTGCAAATATCTCTGCTCCACATTGCATAATGTAGGCATGCGGTAAGATCTTGTCAGTAAGGGCTTTAATTCAAGGCAAGCTCTGCAATGGCCAAACCATTGGCTACTAAAAGCAAAGGAATAAAAGGTGAGATGCAGAAGGAGCACTCCTGCACCAGAGGTTACGCTGTGTGAGCAGCAACACCCCACAGAGAGAAATACTTCACATTCTTTATCCAGGCTCATATTTTCTCTGTAATGGTCTGCTACCTTTTGAGTCAGTGCTCTCCTAATTTAGCCTGCAATATCAAGTAGTACCCAGCACACCCTCAATCTGCAGTTGTGACTCTACCAGCCCCTCTACAGAATTAACTCAGCTCTGAATTAGTCACTCAACGTGCCAGTGCATGTAAAACAGACTCCAGTGAATCACATTTTGTGTGCAGGGACTGAACTGCAGTAAATACAGCGAGTCAGAGAATCTCAGTCTGCATCTGGGCTTCCATGTCCACAGGGATGCTCCCTCTCTGGTGGCTGCACAGCCTCTCCAAGCAGGACAGGCACAAAACTGAGATGTGAATGGAACCCCTAGCATCACACCACACCTCCTGCCCTCTGTGGTAATGCTGTTGGGGCAGCGTAAAGAATGTGAGGGCATGAAAGAGAAACCCGGGTGAGACTGGAGTAAAAAATGCCTGATGACAGTAAAACAAAAAAAAGACAATAAAAGCCTAAAAATGTCCTCTTGGGCTGAGCTGCTTCAGGTCTGAGTGCCCATCTAGCAGATAAGGGGGAAGAGCACACACAGCATGTCAGCCTGCATTAGGCTTGCTTGGGCTGAGGAAGCTTAACCCCACACGCAGTGTGTCACCTAGTGATCCCAGCAAGGAGTGAAATATGCTGGAAATGCCAACTCAGAGCCCATGCAGCAGGCATCCTACTTGCAAGCTCAGATGTAAGCACCCAGAGATGCCAGTGGTGCAGGCAGCAAGGTGCTTATGAGGGGGTATGGTTGAGGGGAATTCATCAGCATGGAAAGGTTGAGGGTCTCGGACCTTCTTCAGCTAGAGCTGGAGGAAGCTGGCTAGGTCTTTCCCCTTGAGGACAGTCCAGCTCCAGCGAGGACAAGGGGAGAAAAGAACCAAAGAGAGATCTTCTCCCGATGAGGACTATATTGATTTTATCCCACTGTTGTTCTCCTGTGGAAGCAGCAGTGACCAGTGTGCAGCACCAGCAGTAATGCCATGTTGGTAGTACATATAATGTGAGGGGAGGTTGGTGAGAGTTGAATTTTGGTCTTCAGTTTCCAGCACTTCCTTGGGATGGGACAGGGACTCATCCCAAAACCAGAGGGGAGAGATCCAGGTTGAAAAGATGCGAGCTGTAATTTTACAAGATGATTTGACTCATGTGAAATGGCTGTCAGTTGGGGCAGAGGTGATGCTCATGCTGCTTAGTTCAGCATTGTCATCTGAACTGGACCTGGAGGGCCACAAGCCTGAACTCCCAACTTTTAGCAATCTGATCTGCCACATACTGTCTCCTCAGTCTCTTGTAGGCAAGGCAAGCTCAGATGTGATCCATGTACCTACCCACAGTGTTTCAGCTTTAATTATTAATGATATCCATAAGAACCGTGACTGGGCTGGTAAACTCTGGATGGGGCTGTGCACCCAAAGCAACCTAATCTGCTATTTCTTTCTCTGCAGGGGGTGGAGGGAAACGCAAAGGCAAAAGCAAAAAGTGGAAGGAAATCTTGAAATTCCCTCACATTAGCCAGTGTGAAGATCTCCGAAGAACAATAGGTAAGAGCTTTTCCCTTCTTTGGAAGTATTGCATAAATAAAACATGCTATCAACAGAACGTCATTTAGGGTGCTCATCACTAAATGGAATCAGTTGAGAAATGGGCATGTAATGCATGTACATCCCACGATGCTGCCATGCAAGCTCAGTATTTCTGGTTCCTAACAAGTCACTGTGCATCAGGCAGGAGAGGTGGGTAAAATCCACTTGTGAGGCTTGGAGGCCCTTTGCATGCACAGGATCTACCAGCCAAAGAGACTTTACATTTAGGTGGTACCTGCCTATGGGGCAGGTGCTTTGACTCAGTACCTACCAGGACTAATGTAGCTGTAAAGGGACGTTAAGAAACAAATCCCCCCATCACATCCTGCATTCTCTTGTAGTAAATAACTCTTTATCAGGGAGGAATTGAGACTTGGTGAAAGCAGAGAGATTGATGATGTAGTTGAAAGTTATTACTAATTTCAGTCTGGATATGTTAGAAGCAGCATCCGCTGCTCTCTGCCAGGCAGGTTTGCTCAGCAGTGCTATCCTCTATTCCAACCACAGCCACAACACAACTTTATGTAGTGTTTTATGCGACATACAAGAAAATTTATTAACTTATTTCATCAATGTGAGCCAAACACTGCAGATTTGGAAGGAAGCTTGCAGTGGCCATTTCCATAACACAGCATTTCTCCTGCTCATACCTGCCAAATTGTTGACTGCTGCCTTGGCAAGCAAGGCTAGCAGCTATCTCCTTGAGCATCCTCCACTGGATAACCCAGTGTTACCAGAGGTTGACTTCAGCAACTGAAGCTCCAGCCACTGGCAATGAACGAATGAATGAAAGGCAAGAAACTGTAACAACTGAGATAACAGGCAGCATAATTTGTCTAACTTGAGTGAGCTCCTGGGGCTTGAGTGACAGTGCCCTGGCACAATTTACATTTGAAATTCATGGTGTGTTTATGCAGGGAAAATATGTGGAACGTTTTGAAGCTCTTTTCATGGTCTCCTTCAGTAAATTTTGCTTCCCTTGTCTACTGCTGTAGAGCTAAAAGGTAAAGAAATGAGGCAGGAGCAGAGGTTTTTCCAGTTTATAGCCGTCCAACAACACACAAACCCTGGCATGATTTCTGAAGGTACAGAAACTGCTGGAAGCAGATTGGACTTAATATATTGTAATTTGCTTAGGGAATTCTCTCTGTTGTTCCATGAACCTTGGTTCTTACAGGGGACAACAGGACCAGATAAAACACTTGGCTCTTTGCAAGGGTATAATATCCTAAATGAGTAGTCTTTGAAAAATTAAGTCTGGCAGTGATTTCTGATTCTGAAATGCTGTTTCTGGGTTTGTTTTAGTGTCAGCTTTGTCCTCGATGTAATTTGTTTTGCATTTCTTTTTGTGAGCAAAACGGTGAAGTGACAGAGCCCTTCTGATGCTCTTGGTGGATTTGGCTTCCTTGCAAGGATTACCTGTTGGCTGGGAATTTTAGCAACTGACTTGCTCACGCTGGGAAATCAGGTCCAAATCCTTGTTGTGTGACTGAGGAGTTTTCCTGCTGAGCTGGATGTGATTCCTCATGGAGTGAGGCAGTGCTCAGCCTGAGGAAGCTCATCTGGCCTTTCTGCCTCTGCCATTTTTCAGTTAATCTAGCTAAGGCTGAAACATCCCAGACAAAGAGTTGCAGTTTATAAACAACTCTTTGCTCACCTGACCCATCTTGGAAGAACCAGATGCACTGGGTCTATGGCATTAGGTTGTTTGCACGTGTGTGGTTGACCCAAGGTGCTCAGGGTGGATCTTTTGTACATGCAGATCCATTGCACTGGACTCCGTGTGGCTCGTGCCTCATTGCCATCCAGGAACAAGTACTGGTCATTGCATTCTGGCCTGAAACCACTTCTTTTACTGTCTCTGTCAAGGAAGAACAACTCCCTTGGCTTTAACCCATCTTCATTTGTTATCTTCTGCCAGTCCTTTAGAAGGATCTCAGGACTACAGGTGATTTTGTGAGGCAATGTTCTGAAACGTCTTTCTTGAACCATGAGTTGAACTGCTTTCTGGCTTGCAGGGGTTCCAACTGCTTGGTGTGTCCGCCCATCAGTCCCTACCCTAAACACTTCTTAAGCCCCTGGTCAGTGCCAGTTGAATCTAATAATGAAATAGAGACCCCAGAGAGGGTTTTTTCCTCCAGTCTTTAGGGAAATAGGCAACCAGCAGAGAACCATAGAATCCCAGACTGGTTTGTGTTGGAAGGGACCTTAAAGCTCACCCAGTTCCAACCCCTGCCACAGGCAGGGACACCTTCCACTAGAGCAGCTTGCTCCAAGCCCCTGTGTCCAACCTGGCCTTGAACACTGCCAGGGATGGGGCAGCCACAGCTTCTCTGGGCAAAGAACAACTCTATCCAGTGAAAAAGCTACAGACTCCATTCAGTGTGTTTAGAGATCAAGACAAATACCAGTAGGTTCTGCTCATCACAGACCTCTTTGCCATGTGTCCTCCTCCCAGCACTTTTGGTCAGACACAGTCTTGCCACTTTGGTTAAGTAAGAAATCACACCAAGTCTTAGAGGGTTGCATGGACTGGAGGATGAGGCTGTTGAGGTTTTGTTGCACTCCCCTTTTCTGGATGCTTCCCAAGAGCCTCTGTGGAAAAAAATGGAGGCAGGGATGGGATGGGATGGGATGGGATGGGATGGGATGGGATGGGATGGGATGGGATGGGATGGGATGGGATGGACCTTTTGATTTGACTGCTGCGAAGAAAGGCACGGCTTAGTTTAATGCAGCCATAAGCCATGGCTGGAAAATGCTGCTGTTGTAATTGTGGCAGTACAGTCTACATGTGTGTGTAGATGCCCACATTTTGGTGTAAAAATGTGTGTGCTTTTACACCCCACTAAGGTGTACTGAAAAGAGTCTGTGTCTTGAAAAAATAAGTGTAGTGTGAAAAGAAATCTGTGAAAAACAGGAAGGCTGAAATAAACCAAGGGTCTGCGACCTGTGTTGACACAATTATGAGTCAGTTCATACCTTTTGGTTCCCTCTGTGTTTACAGGAGACTCTGTGTTTGACTATCCATCATCTGGTGTCTTACTGAAAGCCTTGCTTAGTAAAGCCCTTTTTTCCCTTCCTTCTTGTGCAGAGAAATGAAAAAAGAAAAATCAAAACACCCGAGAGAAACACTGGTTTTTGATAAATAAACAAACTCTGGAAACATCTTTATTAAAAGCACCATTTAGCCAAGGAGCTGTTTTGTTGGATTGCACTTGAAAGCAACTTCTTTTCTCCTTTCTTTTTTGTCCAAGGTACGCAACGCCGTGTGCAGGGGAGTTCAGTGGCTGTCATTGTGTGCTAATTATAATTAAATAGGCAAGTGGAACAGGGATGCTGCACTAATACCTTTACAGGGCTCTGAGGGAAGCTTCTCTATGTATACTTGTATATTATGAATGCCTAATAGACATTTCTATTTGTAGCCCTCTTCCCAGCTGTATTTCATTGAATCATAGAATGGTTGGGGTTGGAAAGGACCTTAAGATCATCTAGCTCCAACCCTTCTGGCTGCATTTAATTGTATTAAACCAGCTAGCCCTTTCCAGGATAATACTGGCATTAGTGACCATCTCAATTGGTGAAGATCGGTGTTTGAGACATGAGTGACAGTAACTCATGTGATGAATGCTGCTAGTAGACGGTGTTCTGCTATCATTAAAATTCACAGGTTATGCCTTAGCAAGAGAGATGCTTCAAGGGAAGGGAAAAAATAGCAAGGCCCAGCTTTAAAAATTCCTACATTTGACAAACACTGCATGAAGGGATGCCACAGGTTAGGGATACCCACTAGTTTAAAGGCCATCAGTAAACACGAATCTAAGAAGAAGTTGTAATTTTAAAGGGCAGAGTGTCTTTTTGATGATAAAAGATTCTGGATGTCTGTAAATATTTCTGAATGACGCAAAAGGTTCTGTTGGTTAAAAGCGTGGAATTTTTATTTATTTTGCTCAGACCCATTCTGTGCTTTTTTCTTCCATAAAAAACCTGCTCGGGTGAAAGAGTCGATTATTCTGATCTTTGGCAAATTTTCTTTCGCAACTGTCCAAATGCTATATAATAAATCAAGACTCCCCCCCCCCCCGAGATTGAAGGCTGTGGGGAAACTGCCACAGAATGTGGCTGCTGTTTGTTGGCTAGAGTGGTTTGTTGCATTATTGCAGGAAACTTTAACTCCTTCAGTAAAGCAGTTGCTGGTTGTGCATTGTGCTCATGCAGAAGGGAGAACTCCCATGACGTCTCTTGTTAAACATTTATATTATAGAATCATAGAATAGTTAGGGTTGGAAAGGACCTTAAGATCATCTAGTTCCAACCCCCCTGCCATGGGCAGGGACACCTCACACTAAACCATATAAACCATATTCACTGAGATGTCACAGTCAGAAAGATCAGCCCCATTAATACAGATTTATTTGGCCACGCTTGGATCAAAAAGAGAAAATCAAAACCCCTCCCTGTGCTTTTTAACCTCTTAGGTGACATTTGCGTCCCATTTATCAAGGGCAGAAGGAGCTTGAACTTCCAAATGCTTTTCAGCAATGTTAAAAATACACTTCTGCTTGAGAAACTCTTTGTAGAGGTGGTGAACAGAGTAAGTGGGGCAGAATTGAAGCCACAGAGTTCAAATGCTCCCTTTTTACAAAAGCTGGCCCCTTTTCCTCCTTTTTGTGTAGTACTTCTTCAGACATGATCAAGACCTTCACCTATATGATTTTATTTCACTCACTTTGCACTTCATCTACCTGGAAGCATATTGATAGTGCAGGCTCTGCAATGGGATTCAGACCCAGCTAAATGAGGTTTTTGAGCCACCAGCATGGGCGCTGGTAACAATCAAGAAGCAGCAATATGGACATGAGTGACAGAAAGATGCTCAAGTATTCATCCAGCTTCCTAGGAATGCTTTGCAGCCTGCACTGAGCTCCATCCTGTGGCAGAAAGACTGCTACTAT